TATAACTTATAGCGCCTCGAAAGTCAAGGAAGAAAAGTGACTTTTTTATTGCCCCCCCCCTGTAGAGTCCTGTTACAGTAGGAAGTGCGACAAGATCCTGGAGGTGTGGCACACTAGAGCTTAATTCCCTACGAGGTATCAAAGATGTAGTGCTCCCACTGACGAAAACTTAATAGCCATTACGGCTCACTGCAAGTCTGAGCAGCTGCTTTCGTAACATATAAATAAATGAGTAACAAGCGTCGCCCTTTCATTGCGCCTATTGTTACCCTCTGTGATGCTTTTTGCGTCGGGAAGAGCTAGTCTACAAATATGTGCAGCCTGCAATTTCCAAGAAAGAGTACCAGGTAAGCGAGGGGTTTGCCCAGACTTATGCCGTTTGTACGCACTCAGTTTTGGCTGCTGACGGAACTTGTGAAGTGTTGTGACCGTTTTTACTTCCTTACTCCACTTCCCCACCCTCAACGCTGACTGAGCCTCGAAGAAGGAGTGATTCCATTCATTTTAGGCTCAGCCTTACCAGAGCGTAGATGATCGTAGCATCCTCCATGGTGCCAGCGAGACTGCTAATCAGCATGCTTAATCCCTCTACACGAGTTTCAGCGGATTTGGTGAACTAAGCACTCCATAAATGAGCAAGCAGCCAGAACTGAGCGGCATCAGTCATTGCACAGTACTCCAGGTGCTGACGCAAAAGTGCAGAAAGGCCCCTCTGGAGAAAGATAGCGTCGTGATTTGAAAGGCACGTTCCTCGATTGCAAGTTGTGAACGCAGGATCCAAATTCTAAATCTGTATGCTAATGACCGAAACGACCTGTCGCTGGGAAAAACCAGATGATGTTCTCGAGGTCTCAAAATGAGGTTCTTTTTTGCTGTCAGTGTCGAGTACTGAACGAGTATGCAAACCAGCGACGGGGGGAGAGACACTGCTAGCTGAAGACTGATGACAGTAAGAGAACAGGAGATGCAGATGGAACGCAACTCCGTTCACCTTGGGACGGCGCCACTACTGATGGGTTCCGTATCGTAGCCAATGGTCTCAGCTCTAGTCACTCCTTTTCTGGTTGCATAAGTAGTACAGTCTCCGCGACCGCCAACAAAAATACTCGCATAAGGGAGAGGTACTACCTACCAGCTAGTCGCAGAAACGGTCCTTAAATAACCACTGCAGACATAGGGTCATCATGGATTTGATTTCCACGTAGTTTTCACGCCACATCTAGTACTAGTTCTGCTTTCTTTAGAAGACAAACTGTACGCTCTATCCAGGACCCTGGTCCTTGCCAAGCGCGTAGAGGTTAGGTCCTCAGCTGCAGTAACGTGCCACTTTCAGTTGCCAAAAATGCGCGAGAATGGGAGGGAAGGAATAT